ACACTAGAGAGAAAGAGAGAGGGGTTGTTGTAAACTTTTGTTTATGTTATTGTAAGTTTTGTTCTTGAAATAAAAGAGTGTGTTTTATCCTCTCTGAGTATTTTAAAGCCACCACAAGTGGTTTCTCCCACCAACACAAACTTCATATCGTCATTTGCTAAATCCTGTGTATAATTTTTGTAACTGTGCCTCAATTCATCTATTGTACCTAAACCTAAAAATCCGAGATCATCATCTTCATTTGCTTTCCTGATGCCCTTAAGATCTGTGCCATTCAATTGTCTGATACATAACAAGGAAAATAAAAATGTCTACGCTGATTAATTTATGAAATCAGCAATAAATTCTCTTACTGAATCATGTGATAGTTCTCTGCATTTTTTTGGTGTTTGTCCAGATGTTTATCACAATTCTTTATGCTGATCTTATTTGGCTTAATGATATGTTAATTTATTCCATGAATTGAATCATATGCATGCTTAGATATTTCCTTTTATATTTAGATAACTCTGCTCTAAAATTCATTGCTTGCTTTGTAGTGGTTTGATTACATTCAGCAAGCCAGTTCTCAAATTTCATGATTTCATTATGTCATCCTCTAGAAGCTCTGACTTGATATCCATTATGTCTGTAAGCTATAGCTCCTCCCCCGACCCCCATAGTAATGAAATAGATTCCAAATCTTTCTGAGGATTTTGATACGTGCATATCCTCTGCTGCTTGTATAAAAGAAGTTATTGTAGGTAACTCTGAGGAGGAAAAGTCGATAAAGAATTCTTTGATTTTCCATGCAAGCTTTGGCCATCTACATCAGTTTATTTCATGTTTCATTTCCTTTAGTGACAATTAACAATAAAAGATGAAGTAAAAAAAAAAAAATGAATCCATGGGATAAGAGATCTGCACTTAAAATCGATATGGTAATGGGTAGGATCTCCTTGTTTTTTTTTTCTCTGAGTGGTCTTGAATTGATCATAGTTCCTTCAGGTAGCATTCTCCTGTCAACAAAGCATAACTAACAAAAAATGAATGGGAGATATACCTTTTAAAGAAGAGAATGCAACAGAAGAGATGGCAATTGCGTAAGCAAATACCACAGAATTCTAATCTTGTTCACCCTGAAATGTGCAAGCTATTGCTGAATCCTGGGATTTCAGATGATAAATACTGGAGAACTTGAATGCTAAGAACTTTTCATGGAAGATTGACAACTTGGGAAATGCTTGTTATGATTGGTGAGAATTTTTTACAGTGTATAAAGCTGTAAGTTTAGGGAATCTTGAATGTTGATCGTCTATAACAGTCAAACTTCATATCGTCATTTGCTAAATCCTGTGTATAATTTTTGTAACTGTGCCTCAATTCATCTATTATACCTAAACCTAAAAATCCGAGATCATCATCTTCATTTGCTTTCCTGATGCCCTTAAGATCGGCGCCATTCAATTGTCTGATGCATAACAAGGAAAATAAAAATGTCTAAGCTGATTAATTTGTGAAATCAGCAATAAATTCTCTTACTGAATCATGTGATAGTTCTCTGCATTTTTTTGGTGTTTGTCCAGATGTTTATCACAGTTCTTTATGCTGATCTTATTTGGCTTAATGATATGTTAATTCATTCCATAAATTGAATCATATGCATGCTTCAGATATTTCCTTCTATATTTAGATAACTGTGCTCTCAAATTCATTAGTTATTTGCTTTGCAGTGGTTTGATTACATTCAGCAAGCCAGTTCTCAAATTTCATGATTTCATTATGTCATCCTCTAGAAGCTCTGACTTGATATCCATTATGTCTGTAAGCTATAGCTCCTCCCCCGACCCCCATAGTAATGAAATAGATTCCAAATCTTTCTGAGGATTTTGATACGTGCATATCCTCTGTTGCTTGTATAAAAGTTGTTGTTGGAGGTAACTCTAAGGCGGAAAGGTCGATAAAGAATTCTTTGATTTTCCATGCAAGCTTTGGTCATCTACATCAATTTATTTCATGTTTCATTTCCTTTTGTGACAATTAACAATTAAAGATGGAAGTAAAAACAAAATTGAATCTATGGGATAAGAGATCTGCACTTAAAATCGATATGGTAATGGGTAGGATCTCCTTGTTTTTTTTTTCTCTGAGTGGTCTTGAATTGATCATAGTTCTCTTGAATTTTAGGTATGCCTAAGTATGGTATGATTTCTGTCTTATCTGTGTTTATTTCTTATGGCTACCAAATGAGTGGTGTCATAATTCTATTGCATTCAACTCTGAGTTCTGTGTTTTCTCATCGGCCTTAAAAGTGAGAAGTTTTTGTTTCATCTCTCTTTCTCCCTTTTTGTTTCTTTTCAAATTTTTATTTTTATTTTTTCCTTTTTAGACTGAAGATCATGGTTTGGTTCATCTGTCAGGGTTTTGTTTGACAAATGTTGCACCATGCATGCAGATTTCTGAAGCATCAATTAGCACAAACTGCAGGAACATTATCATTTCCTCCTTTTTAGATTGAAGATCATGGTTTGGTTCATCTGTCAGGGTTTTGTTTGACGAATGTTGCACCATGCATGCAGATTTCTGAAGCATCAATTAGCACAAACTGCAGGAACATTATCATTTCCTTGAGACTACCAATGATTCTTATTCAAGAGAAGGCCATTTGACTGATGAGAATGTCAAGAAGCGGTGCAGTGCAGAAATAAGTGAAACTCAGGTGTTGAACGCAGATGAAGAAGCTTGCATCAAAGGAGAGTTAATCTGGTAGCTCTAGTTTGTTTAGACAAGCCATGGGTGCGGTGCAGAAATAAGTGAAACTCAAGTGTTGAACGCAGATGAACAAGCTTGCATCACAGGAGAGTTAATCTGATAGCTCTAGTTTGTTTAGACAAGCCATGGAACTTTTGATATCTTAAACTGGATCAACCCTCTAGTTTATCAAACTTTCTGTACTTGACAAACCATAGAACCTTCTGAACATTGGATCAATGAACAGTATTTAGTACATCTGAAATGGAAGCATCTAGTCCTGGTAATGAGATGGAAGCATGCAAACAGGTCATGGTGATGCAGTAAGCTATATCAGATTTGGGCTGACCTTTGTATGGGAGTAAGCGAGCGAGCAGATGAAGGACAAGTTTCTGGAAGCCGAGACTTGGGGTTGGATCCTAAGCTAGGCTCACCTGATTAGACCCAGCATGGATAAATGCAATCAAAAGGTATTCATATTACTAATAATTTGATACATAATAATGAGGCCGGATGGCGGGATTGTAAGGTGAACTCACTTGTCGTTAAATCAATCTAACGGCTCCACATTACTGCCCTGGTTTCCTGCTCGAGCATTTTGTGACTTGGGGTTGGATCCTAAGCTAGGCTCAACTGATTAGACCCAGCCTGGATAAATGCAATCAAAAGGTATTCATATTACTAATAATTTGATACATAATAATGAGGCCGGATGGCGGGATTGTAAGGTGAACTCACTTGTCGTTAAATCAATCTAGATTTATTCCAAAATAATTTAAAAAAAAAAACTTAAATCATATTATTTTTTATTAAAAAATTAAAGTACTATTGTTTAAGAAAATTAAAAAATTATTAAAGTTGACTTAACAAAATATTAGTGTTTGATTGAGTTTTAAAGTTATTATAATTTGATTGGATAACCTTTTAAAAATATTTTTAAAAACTTTTTAACTTAAATCAAATTTTAAATTGTTAAATTATTAAATCAACTTACTTGAATAAATTTAATAGATATGATTTAATAATTTAAGTGTTTTTTTCTTAGGATGGCTAAAATAATTTGAATTGTTTCAAGTAATGTCTTATTTTAACTTTAAAACTAAGAAGTAAATATCTTAACTTTAAAACTAAAAAGTAAATGTTAACTAGAATTAAATTTTAAATCACCAAATCATTAAATCAATTTACCCGAGTAAATATAATAAATATGATTTAATAATTTAAGTGGTTTTTTAAAAAAAATAGCTAAAATAATTTGAGTTGCTTCAAGTAATGTCACCATTTATATATATATATATATATATATATATATCCATCATTTCTATTTTATTTAGTAAAATCATAAAAAATTGAAATTGAAAAATAGACGTAAGGGAACTAACAATTGAGAACATCAAAACAAAAGGATATCAATAGAAACTTAGAAGAATGATTTTTGAAAAAATACAATAAGAACATAAAACTAGAAGGCAATGGGCTCTATATTGTTCATGATTCTGAACTATAGAGAATAGAATGAGTTCTAATAGCCAAATCATGCGTTAAATTGAGTTAAATTTCATATGTAATTTGAATTTAATTAATAAGTTATTATATTTTTTTATTTTGAATAAAATACTAATATAATTGAATCCAATTATATTTATAGAAATAAATTAAATTAACAACTTTGACTATTTTACCAATAAAATCTCAAGTATTTTCCTTATAATATTGCAATAATTTAAACGCAAGCCTTTCCTCTGTCCCCAAGCAGCTTCTCTATCCTCTACCTTTTAAAATTTCCTCTATTTTTTCCAAACTGAAAGCAAAGAATCCATGATCGCTCGAAATGCTGAACAAGGCACAATTTAAGAATGATAATTTATGATTATATCATTCGTATATTCTTTCTTTGTTTTTTAATTCTACAATGTTTGATGTCCCATAAGTACATAGATTAGATCAATATTTATAATTTGATGTTTATTTAAAAATTAATTTTTATTTTTTTAATAATTTTATCCATGATCGCTCGAAATGCTGAACAAGGCACAATTTAAGAAAGATAATTTATGATTATATCATTCATATATTCTTTCTTTGTTTTTTTTAATTCTACAATGTTTGATGTCCCACAAGTACATAGATTAGATCAATATTTATAATTTGATGTTTATTAAAAAATTATTTGTTATCTTTTTAATAATTTTAATATGTTAATGTAATAAATAAATAAATAAATAAATTTTTAAAAACCATTTTAATTTTTTTAAAATATATATTAAAAAAAAAACCTTCTTTGCAGTACTAAACACAATCATGTCAAATTTTCACTGTCACTCCCACCAGTATTTGACAAGGGCATGGTAAACAGGAGCCAATACATGCCAGGTCCAAAAGGTTGCCTTCAAGCAATATAGGGCAACCAATCTTTGATGGATATGCCCTACTGGGACCTGGACACCTGGATGGAGAAGGAAGGAGCTTCTTGATATTCAATGCCTATATTTGTGCAGATCGTTCAAAGCGTGAGTTTTTATCCCTTTCCCTTTGCTTTTATTGTTCTTTTTTTTTTTTTTCTTGTAGTCAAGTTTCATGCATCTTCTCATCTGGTCCAGCAAAACCCCACTTGATGCTGCTGCTGCCTGCAGACAGAGATTTGGTCATCTAGTGGCCCTAACCTGCATCAATCATCCTACAGTTGACAACAGTTTTTTTGGCATCCACAAAACATAGAAGCACCAAGCCTTTCTTTATCACTGTTAAAAGAGAAGATATTTCTTTCCCATAGAGGACAAGACTCTCGCATGGAATGGAGAAGGGCATATACACATCAACGATATCATAAACTTAGATGAAAGAAAGAAAGAAAGAAATGATAGAAATATTAGCTGTACAGCTGCTGCATTAAATTGATACTGCAAATGGGTACAAGGCAAACGAAAAAAAAAAAAAAGCTTTTTAAAAAACAGATCCCTCTTAAGGCTCGCACAAGCAAGGCTAGGATCCAAAAAAATAAATCCGTAACCCTGCAACTCCATGAGGACATACATACATCATGACTTGAGCCTCTTTTGGTTTGTTCATTTCTAATATTGATACGAAATGAAAGGAGAGCACAGACTGTACAATGATAGTATGGAGGAGGTCAATGATGACTGCCCACATCATCTCCCAGAACTCACTAGGGTTTTCTCCTCTGAGTCTTGAGCAGACTTCGAGCTTGTTATAGGAAGAGGAAGAGGTAGACCTCTGTCTGAATGAGATGGGCCTGCCGTTGGTGCTACCTCTTCCTCTGCAGAGACAGGAGCAGGTTGAACTGGTTTGGGTGTATACGTGAAGGAGAGATCTCTGTTAGCTGCTAATGCAACAAGCTCTTTTTCCTCCAACCCTTTTGTTGGCCCAAGGCTACATCGATCTGGTGTGTGCTTGGCCAATGCATCTTTGAATTTCTTGATCTGAAATAGAACCAAAACAAAGACCAACATCATAGAAACAATCAATGGAATTGACAAAGTACGCATAATAAATTGAACGATCAACGCAAAATGCTTGCAACTTACATCCTTTAATCTGGTTCAGTAAAAAACTGGGTTTGTGAAGCAACAGCTTCCTAGGCAAACAAACTGGATGAATGCTAACAAAATTCAAGATCACGTAGTGAAGTTGAGTGTGATGTGGTTCCAATGAGTTGATAAATCTTGGATTTTGAAGAGAAAAAAAATGCAGAAAATGGTTTATTTCAAGAATCAATCAAGCTCTGCATTTCATTATTTCACCATTAAAGCTCTTGGTATACAGGAAACAGAAAATCAAAGGCGAAACTGAAACAAATTGGTCTGTTCATAAAATTAACAGTTATTAAACTCACTTCAAATATTACAATTAATCAACAAAAGAAGTGAAGTAATGGCGAAACCAACCGTGGCATTAGTACAGCTAAAGCTGCATAACCGGCCATGAGCTCCTCTATAAAACCGGAAGAATGGTAACACATGGACATTGAGGCTATAACACATGGATTTGTGCTCCTCGTAATTAACTTGAAGAAACTGTACATCTGGATTCATCTCTGCCAATTGACATATCTGCCCAAAAAAGGACTCCCATTAGCATTCTTCCACAAAACTAAATCCATCAAAAAAAAAAAAAAAACAACTAAACCACTCATATAAACATGCACATGCACCACATGTATATCGAAATAGTTATGCAGATCATACCTTGGGATGGAGAGCTTTGCAGCCACCACATCCAGGGGAAAAGAAATCAACTACAACAAGTTGGTCCCCAGCATTCATTAGGGAATCCACAAGATCTTGCGCAGAAGTTACTTCTCTCATGTTGGGTTGCAGACCTTTCTCCCACCATTTTTTAGCATATTTAAGTTTAAGGCCAGTCTATTAATTCCACAAAAGATACAAGAGGAAAAAACCATTAAGCATTTATCCATCCTTGTAATATCAAAATGACACGAAAAAAAAATCAAAACTTTGAGTTTCCACAATATACAAAATCTCATGATTCTTTTTATTAATTAAAAAAAAGAAAAAATTCCAGACTTTCTTTTCCTCTAAAAACCGAATATTTAGGACCCAGCTCCTCCGATTCATTCAGTGGTTAAGCGAAATCACAGTAATTTAAGCAATCCAATAACTAAAAATAAACCAACAATTACGATAACAAACAGGGAAGAACCCCACAAGAAAAAAAAAATAAAATCACTCAAAATCAAAATAAAGACCATAAATCCAAATAAAATCACTCAAAAAACAAAATCAAAATAAAGACCATAAATCCAAACAATAAAAATTTGACTAACCATAGCCACAACCGAAGCTTGAGGAAGATACCCTCTTCTGGGTTTGCTTTGATTTCCATGAACAACAACCCTCTTGCCATAAAAATCACTACAAGAAGAAGATCTTGAAATTTGAGATCTCAAACCCTGTGGTTTGACCCTCGAAGGAAACCCTTTAAGCCTGTAACTCTTTGCAAACACAGAAATAGTATTGTGTTGCTGGGTTTGACAAGTACCAGAAGAAAATAGATTTGTCTTGCTCAAAACCTCTGTCATAATTTCTCACAACAATTTGAAGGAAAAAAAAGACAAAAAAATTGTTTCTGAAGCCAAAGAAAGCTCAGGTTCTTGCAAACACATAAAGAAAGGCTTTTGCTTTATTGGTTTTTGCCTTTTCTCTTTGAATAGATAAAGCGTTTTCCTCTCTCTCTCTCTTTCTTTCTGAGCTGGGAAACGTTGAAAATTGAAGATGATGGTGGGGTGTTTTGGGCCGCTAGATTTCGGTTTGGATGATGGATCTAACGGTTCGAGAAATTGGTGAAATTTGTAGATTATTGGATAAGGTCGTTATTTTGTGCTGTTTAAGATTTATTTTGTTGACGTTTGCCGGTTTTTATGGTTGATAGCGGCACGTGAGGTGCTCGATGTCTTAAACGTGGCGTCATCTAATCTTATGGTTTTTTCGGAGTTGGAACTGGATGGATGGAATACTTTGGAAGCTTCTTTTTCTTTTTCTTTTTCTTCTTTTTTGCGTTATTTTTCAACCTCTAGTAGCGGTAGAGATTTACAATCACTTGGGAAAAAAAAATATAAAATTATTTTAAATAAAATTTTATTTATGGAAAAAAATTTAAGAGTTGAAAAGGCTTCAAGTTTGATTTTTCCCAAAAGAAGTAGCTTCTTCTTTTTTTTGTATTTAATAATATGATGAAAAGTATTTTTAAAAATAATTTTTTATTTTTTTAATACCAGCTTATAATATCATAAAAATTTAAAAACATACACCAACTTATAATATCATAAAAATTTAAAAACATATTATTTTAATAATTTTTAAATAAAACATATTTTAAAAAATTGAAATAAAACATGTTTATTATTGTGTTGAAAACTTTATTTTAAAAAAATTGAATTTTTTTCAAATTAATTTTTTTATATTTTCATATTGTTTTGATATGTTTATGATAAAAATAAATTTTAAAAAATATTATTTTTTATATATTTTTAAATAAAAATATTTTAAAAAAATAACCACTAATATTTACAAAATAAAAACATAATTTTGTGTGATCTAACTTAATTCATCATGCTTAAGTTTGTTTTTAAGATTATTAGTTTAAATACTACAAATTTTAAAATTGCTAGACATTTATTTAATTATTAATTTTAAAAAATTAATTAAAAAACATATATAAATTAATCCAAATAACAATTAAAAAAAAAAAACCTAACACCTTGGTGTTAGAACAGAACTGAACCAGCAATTACAATTCACAACATCATATTTCCATTATTCCATATCCATTCACCGAGAACAGTGTTGGGTTCATCATCTCCAGGCCCCATTATCAATCTTTAAGAACAGAGTGCTGAGTACTATTCGGTTGTTTAGTGGGCTACACAAGCCACAGGAAACAGATCCCAGCTCTCCAGGCCTCAGCCCTATTATTTCCCAAAAATCTCTCTCTAACAGTTGAAAGTCGGTCAGGAGTGATGATAGATTCTGACTGAAAAGTTCACTCTTCTTTTCCATGTATACTTGTTGCCTGCCGGTCAGCATGCAGGATTGAAAATGAAGTAGATTCTTACCCCGAAGATTCCAAGACAAACATCATCACATCACATCACAAATCTAAGTTTAACATCCCAAAATGTTTCATCTTTCCCACAACCTATCCAAACCCAATTCAATCGCATGCTCAAGATTCAATCTTCAACCCCACAACACTTCCAGGCTCCCTATTTCCCACATTACCCCACCCAGGAAAGTTACTTCATTTTCTAAAAACCCTAACATTCTCATTCCTAGGTGCACACCACAAGATACCATTTCACTTTCCATCACTACTACTCGTGAGGATAGAGCAGACGAAGGTATATTTACCAAGGAAAATGAAGTTCTGGTAGTAGAAACCCCACATGGAAGTAAAAAGAATTTCTGGGGTGCTGTCAGTTTGATTATTGGCACTGCTGTAGGGCCTGGAATGCTGGGCTTACCAACCGCAACTATAAGGTCTGGTTCTTTTACATCAACAATTGCCATCATCCTTTGTTGGGTTTATGTAATCTCCTCCATCATTCTTGTTGCTGAGCTTAGTTTTGCTGCTATGCAAGAAGATGGAGTTTCAGAGGTGAGCTTTACTGGCCTTGCAACAAAAGCATTAGGAAGCAAATTTGGTGCTTTTGTGGCGGTGGTTTATGCTAGCTTAAGTTTTTCTTTGCTAGTAGCATGTGTTTCAGGCATTGGTTCGATAGTATCACAGTGGATTCCATGGATGAATGTTGTGTTGGCTCATGCTTTGTTTCCTGTTGCTGCTGGGATTGTAATTGGGTTCTTCCCTTTTAAGGTCATTGATACTGCTAACAGGCTTTTATGCTTGCTCATGCTTTTCTCCATAACTTCACTGGTAGCTATTGGTTTATCTGTGGCCAGAACAAATATATTAGCCTCCCTTGTTCCCACCTCATTGAGTATTTCAGCAATCTTGCCTGCTATCCCTGTAACCGTACTTACGTTGGGGTTCCATGTTATCACCCCTTTCATATGTAAGATTGCTGGGAATTCTGTATCTGAGGCTAGAAAAGCAGTGCTGATTGGTGGGGCTGTTCCTTTGATAATGGTTTTGTCATGGAATTTGATTGTTTTGGGGCTTGCTGGTGCTAACACAGCCACCACCTCCAGTGACCAATCTCTCTCTTGCTCTCTGTCAATCCTTCTGCTTTATCTGCTGTCCAGGGCTTTGCATTTTCGGCTTTGGCAACTAGCTTGATAGGTTATGCAGTTGGCTTTCCGAGACAGCTTCTTGATACCTTGGAGTTGATCTTCACAAAAACTAAATCTGAAAAACAGATTCACACTCAATGTCAAATATTTGCTAATGGGGATAGTGCTTGTAGAATTGGATTCGTTACCTTTTCTGGTCGGCATAATCTTGGAAATACAGGGAGGGCTTCATTTGATGGAACAAGGTGTTTTGCTGCATCAGAAGTAAAACCACCATCAAGCACGGCCGAGTCTAATGCATTCCACAGTAAATTTGTAATGATGCTTGTACTTGGTGTTCCCATTCTTATAGGATCCTTCTGTCGCTCAACCTTTTCAAGAGCTCTTGATTTTGCTGGAGTTTATGCAAATTGCTTCCTGTTTGGCTTACTTCCTCCAGTAATGGCATATGTACAGCAATCCAGGAATAAGCTCAGGTATTGCTGGCAATTCCATGTTCAGTTATTCGCTAATTAATAGGATGTTTGCTCTTCTGATCCACAATGAAAACCTCGAAAGACATAAACAATGTTAAAGACAGCAAAAAAGCACCTCACATATTTGAGACATCCGATAATATATTTGCACCTGCTGAAGCCTAAATCTTAAGGTCAAAATCATAACTTGGAAAGCAAACATAAACCAATTTATCATTTCATAATGAGTTCAAATTGGAAAGCGCCACTGATATTTTAGAATGGCTTCTTTTCTGGATTACTTGTTATTATGTGTCTGTAAAATGCATGTTATTTCTCAACAATTTCCACAACTTTACACCAAATAACAAGTAATTCGTTTCATGCTCGACTAAGTACTCGTAGTGATTTTAACTTATTCCTCCTGTCAAGATTTTCTTTTCAAACCCCATGAATAGACATTTTACATATGTTCTCTGGTTTTTCAGGTCATCCATTCTTCCAGGGGGAGATATCACTCTTCTACTACTTTTTAGCATTGCTGTCATTTTGGGGATATGGCATTAGACAGTTAGCAGCAGAGCAGTGTCCAGTCCATAGGTCAAAATTCCGTAGGTCAGAGTTTACTTGGATAATTTTTCCATATAGTCCACATTTATTGACTGAATGAACCTCATGCCCTTTCCTTTGTAGACTTTGGGACAGAGGCATCTGAACACATGTTTTGGTTATAAAATTTAAGTCAAGTCATGCGAATAAATGCAAAGTAATTGGATTTTTTCGTCCCAAATACTGATTTAAGATCTTGTCAATTAACTGTCAGATTATGATATAATCTGTGTAGTTCCGTTTCTTCATTTACTCCTGGGTTCAGAAGTTACGGATCAAATCTTTTGTAAACATGGAATGTTTAGTAGAAAACAAGCAACTACATAACTCAATGTCAATTAGGCAAATGCAATAGGTTGATGCAAGATTAATACAATACTAGGCAATGAAAGTAGAACTCGGAAATGATTTTCTCATAAGAGATCTCGTTTGGATACAGTAGTAGGAAACATACGACTTTTAGCTCAAGGACGAATATAGCAACGTCATTATTTTCATTGCAAAGAAAAAAAAAAGAATAGTATCTTCTATTATAGAGAACGAAATCCTCAAATACTAGCCCCGTCGTGTGAACACTTATCTAATTTCAGCTAGATTCAATGGCTCCCATATCTTTCTGAAGTAACCCTCACCAAGTAAGAATTATCATGACACAAGATTTGTTTCCCAATTCCTTTAATTAATGTTCTTCCACATGCACATTATCCTTAATCAAGAGAAGCTCATTCCTGGAATACCTCAAGCCGCTCATGACCAGGCACATGTTTCATGCTTGCTCATGCATGTCATCTCCATTTTATGGAATCATTTTGTATAGATGCCCCTGAAAAAGCATCAAACAGGAAGAATTAGGCTGCCAAGAGCTATTAAATGATTTTTTTCTGGAGTGGTCTGGGTTTGGTCTGTAACACTTGGGGAGCTGTTAGCAGTTTCCTTGGCATCAATACATGTAAGCCAACAGATATTCTGACTAGACTCCAGATCTGTCTAGCTCTCTGGTCATTCAGACGAAACTATTGCCAGGAAGTTTAAAGGCATTTCTCTCATTCGTTAGTCTTCTCAACCTCTCAGCATTCTCAAACCTCCCAGCACCAGCAAAGTTGTTATACATAAGCACATAGTCACCTCCATATCCTGTCTCCATCTCCATTATCTTCCTTGTAACCCTCTCACCCATCTCAATATTACCATAAAAGCTACAGGCACCCAACAGGGATCCAAATCACAACAATAACGATCTCATTAGGAATCTCTAACGCCATGTTCTCTGCCTCTTCTAATCTCCCAGTCATCCCCAACATGTCCACTAAACATCCATAATACTCAATATCAGGCGAAACTCCATGTTTATTCACTATCTTGTCAAAAAACCTGAGCCCCCCATCAAACAATCCACCATGGCTACAAACATTCAAAACACTCAAGAATGTCACTCTGTTCGGCCTCAAACCTATTTTCTCCATCCTTTCAAAATATTCCTCTGCTTCCTTCCAC